AAGTGGTTAAAGGAACGTGTTGCAGTTACAGCAATTTTTAGTAGATATGTTGGCTGCAAATTATGTGAACGACATTCCAAACGTTTTTCCAGAATTTCCGGTTTATTTCATCGAACATTCAGGATGAGCTTGCATTGTGTACTAACGTAACTTACTTTATCCATCTTTCACGATATTTTGCGTAGTTTCTGTTTCGCCCTCTTTTTAAAATAGTTGTTTTCAACCAAAGTAAAATTGCTTTGAATGCTCCTTCTACAGTTTCAATTAAATGGGGGTAACTAATTAAACGTTTGGGGTCTGGCCAATCCCCTTGTCTAGTTCGCAAGACGTTAGATATTTTTGCGTTGTATATTCTGCAGGAAAAGTCATTCTTCTTGGAAAAGAACACAAAAATTCCAGTAAACGTTGAAATCAGTAATCCTAAGCTAACTAATTGCATCCGTTCATCTGAAGTTAGATGTGATTGATGAGGATAGCACACAGAATATGCCTTCAAAGTCCCTGTAATATTTTATTTCTTTTACTACGTATTCATTTTAAAATGAGGCTAAAGAAAACCATCGACTGTCCTTCCAGATTCTCATTGTTTTCGAAGGGCTAAATTGAGTCCAGATTTGACGTTATGTGGGATAGTTACGAAAGTCACTAACGGAGAAATATAATAAGTGCAACTAGTCAGTAGCGGCGGGCAGAACTTGTACGACTGTCTTTTTGTAATCGAGCAACCCAATAAAGCTGGACGCGAGACCTGACGTTTTGAGTTAGGTGCTTCTTTGTGACTTGCAGTTGCACGCGTAGCTTTATCGTGCGTCAGAAGTACTTTACAGCAATCACAATCATATTATCATAATATTAACACGTCTGGCGAATGACTTCACTAATTAATGCCACTGTCAAGACAGTCACAAAGATTCGGAGGCATTTGAAAATCCCATCGTCCAGCGGCACCTACTAAAATTCCCTCTTCCAAGAGGTGGATTTGTGCTTATCTTAGGTCAAGATAGCGCCAGCTGTGTTGGCAAATGTGCAACAACCTATAGGTCCGACGACTTAAACAAGATAACACATGTAATGCGGGCGACGTTAACGTTCATTACGATCCGACCGTTTTCATCAGATTGTCTTTTAATACGTCATGAACCCACCAATGTGTTCCGATGACCCGTGTAATTTCAAACGCAACGGTTAGGATGGCTAATTTCGTGGTCTTTATAAATGCGACTGGCAATGTGCGCGCCATAAATATAACCTTATGGATTCTGGACCTATTTATGCGAGATGCAAAGAAAATATAAATAAATCCAGGTATGTTTATTTAATTCCATAGCCTCTATTATATATATTCGTAGGATAAAGCATGCAGACTCAAGGAAATTAAGCGCACTATTTATGTCAGTGGAAAATAAGTTCGTACGTCATACATATGTCTTGATTTTGCAGGCTTTTAGAATACCAAACGGGTGACAGAACGACATATGCAAATAAAGTCTTAAGAACTGTATAAAACCCTATCAGACGTTGTGTTAGTCCTTGCGCGCACATCAGACAACAGAACCACGGGTAATTGTACAGATGCAATATAATACATGAGCAGCTCGCTAAGAGTGCAACAGGCCAGACGCAGACAGCTGTTTCACGGTCATTACCGATCATCAGTACGTCATGGGCCTTATGAAGTGAGGTATATAAGCATGTCAAGTGGGCGTTTGACCCTCACTGTTGTGGTTAGGATATATATATATGAATAAATGATGTGGCGTGCATTCCGAGGTAATATAATGAGAATGTGAAGGCTCTTCGGAAAATTGAGTTGTACTCGTAAATTTTCAGGTCGGTGACACCGACCCGTCGTCAGACGAAATGAACAGAGGGAAAGTGAAGTCGGCAGACTAGGTCGGCTGGCGCGACAGGACAGACAACGACAAACAGACAGCAGATGTGTGAGAGGGGTGGGCACCCAGTTATGGTAGGCCGTGGGGCAGGGGGAGGGAGGGAAGAACCGTTAGGGCTCCCAGTGTTGGAGGCGGTGAAAACGCGGGGCGTGGGGATTGTGAATCAGCGGGAATGCGGGCGGCTGGCCACTGATGCGGACGGCTAGTCACTGATGCGGGATGAGGTCAGGGGCCAATGCGCCGGCGTTGGAGGTGTTAGGGGGGTTTCGGTTGTTGTTCACCGTGTCGCAAGGGGGGAGCGAAATGGCGAAAGAGCATACGTCTATGTGGCCGAGTGGGGGTTAGCAAATGTTGAGGTGTGGGAACAAGACAGTGAGCGTGTACGTAGGCCCTCATAGTGAGCGACTAGATCGAATGGCGGTTGATGCTGGTCGTGCCAGAGTGCCAAGCTTCGAGGAATTCTCGCGCCTGTCGGGTGTTAGCCCCCCGCGTTCTCACCGCCTCCAACACTTGGAGCCCTAACGGTTCTTCCCTCCCTCCCCCTGCCCCACGGCCTACCATAACTGGGTGCCCACCCCTCTCACACATCTGCTGTCTGTTTGTCGTTGTCTGTCCTGTCGCGCCAGCCGACCTAGTCTGCCGACTTCACTTTCCCTCTGTTCATTTCGTCTGACGACGGGTCGGTGTCACCGACCTGAAAATTTACGAGTACAACTCAATTTTCCGAAGAGCCTTCACATTCTCATATATAGATATATATAAGAAGAAGAGGCGATCTCGGAAACAATAGTTATATTGCCCTGACGTTTCAAAATCAAACAAGATTTCATCGTCGGAGGTGAGTTTTGTACCACGCCTCACAGTATTTCTAGGCGGTGACGATCTTGTTACAACGGGTTTGCGTCTATTCGGGGGCTGTCGTTTGGACGCTAGCTGTCATCGCACGTGTTTGCATTGACCTTAGCTCTCGTCCTAGGCTGGCAATCTTCTTTGTCACCCTGCAGTCACTTGTGTTCTCACCTGCCGCATGAGTGGCAGTGATGATAGCACCTTCATCAGGCCCGTTGGCGTTACTGCGATCGTTCGTCCTCACACCTGCCAGATAAGTGGACGACGCGGCTGTAGTGACGATCGCACCTTCGTCAGATTCGGGTTCAATTACAGCTGCGCGTGTGGCCCCCATGGACTCGGCCGTACTTGGGTTTCTGTCTTGTCGCAGCCTGACTCTGCTCTTCTATTCACCATTAAGCCCACTGCCCATAGTTCCATTGATTCGTCATTCCCCCTACCCTCTAACACAGGGAGACGCAACAGTTCCCCCTTACCTCCCCCGCCACGGATCCCAGCCCAATTATCTGTCCACCCCCATTCACACCTTAGTTGCTTGCCTGTCACTGGCTGCCCTGTCACGCCAGCAAATTTATTCTGACCAGATCACTTTCTCCACTGTTTATTTCGTCTGACGACGGGTTGGTGTCACCAGCTCGAAAAGTTACGAGTACAACTCAATTTTTCCGACGAGCCTTCTTTCTTCATGTATATATATATATATAAATTTCGAATGATGGAGAATACGCGCGGCCCAGGAAATTGCATAGAAGAAGACGCGAAGGCGATCGCTGGGAGCAGTGGTATATTTGTCCGACGTTTCGAACTCTCACTCGATCCCATCGTCAAGGAATGAAAATACTGTACAAGTCATCGCATATTTAGCTCATCTCTGCCGGGAATGACCTCAAGCTGCGCTGC